CAGGTCCCTTCCGACCCTAGAAACTATGAATCTATGAAATTATGAAATAACAAGAATTTATTAAATATTCAGTTCCCACAGAGCATGCCTAACACAGACACACAGGGAGCTTACAGACTAATGGGAACGTGCACTTCCCTGGGGACAACTAGCAGCGGCACATAATTGTGCCACTGCTACTTGTCTCTGGGAAATGCCTCTGCATGCATGCTCTAGAATGCAGCAAATTGCCCTGGGTGGGGTAGGAGAGGCTGAGGCCAGCACCTGGGCTTGCCCCAGCAGCCTTACCTGGGGTTCTTGGGGTCTCCTGGGGCTTCAGTAGCAGCAATCTAGGTATGTGGAGCCTGACCAGCAGCCAGAGTGTGGCTCTGACCAGCCAGGCTCCAGTTTCATGTGGTGCATGCTTCAGCCACTTCTTTTTTTTGCCTTGTTTTTTTAGATGCTACGATTTCCCGGTATCTAATTTTGCCTCTGTGATACAAATATACAGCACAAAGAACCTTTTCATGTGTGTTGCGTGCCTTTGAGGTGCTGCAAAGCTCACTTTCCCACTCATCTGGATGTGCCCACAGAATCATATATGAAGTGAAAGATGGAGTTCTTAAAAGATGGCTGAATAAACAGGTGAGGGGGTCGGACCCCTTCTATATAATAATCTATTAGTTAAAATATTTCTCAACAGGTGGGAGACCTAGATTCAGCTCCCCCTCAGACTGCAAGGATTCAAACCCACATCTCTGACCTCCCAGAAGAGTTCCCCAAGCACCATGCTATAGACTCTTCAGCGTATGTATAGGGATACTTTCCACATCTCTTGGGCTACACAAAGAAGTTGCATTTGTTCACGGAGAAACCATTTTATCCTGGGACAAAGTACAATTGTTCAGACACCCATAATCTGTTGTCCTGGGACAAACCCTGAAAAGGTTCACAGGATAAGAAATACTAAGAGCTTCTCCCAGGACATGCATTTGAATGGTTGTCCCAGGACTGCATCATTGAATCAATAGCAGAAAAGCAGCAGTGAACTGAGCTGCTCACTAAACCCTGGTTGGAAAGGTGACATGTATACATGCCAATTCTGGGACCGTTCTGCTTCAGGACAAACATAGGCACAACTTGTCCCAAGACAAATGAAATGTCTGCTCTTAGCCTTGTAATTCAGGAGAGGGAGGGAGTGAAAAAGGAAGAGAGAAACATGATTCTGTGGCCTAGTGGGTTGGTCACTTGATATAGGGCAATCTTGGGTTCTGGTTCCTGCTACCAGAATTTCTTGTGTAATTTACATTAAGTAGACATTAGATAAAATACAAAAATACTTCTTGGAGCCTGGTAAGTGCCCTCCATAGGCAGTGGAAGGCCAGGGCTAAGGGAACTTAGCCCCCACAAACACAGGGCAGCAGGGAAGCCCAGGTTCTGGGCAGTTGCAGCAAGGGGGGAGGGGCATGCACAGACTCAGGATACACAGTTGCAGCCTGCATGCACCCAGGATTGCAGCCCAGTGGCATGTGGAACACTGCCCAGCATGGCAGGCAAGTCTGTGAAGGGGCATGGGGGGGCAAAACTGAAACCCCCACAGTGAGGGAGGGAGTGGGGCAGATGCAGAGGCAGGGGTGAATGGAGCCCCAGTGTGGGTCATGGGATGGCTGGAGCTGAGGCAGCTCATCCAGGAGTACGGAGGGGGGGGGGTTCTCGCTGCTGTGTGCACCCCAGGTGAGTTATGGGGGCATGTGCCCCCCAGATTTGTGCACAGGGTAGAGCAGAGGCAGGTTGCCACTGTGGGCTGGGCTCTGCACCCCACTGCTGTTGCCTTGGGAGCTGCACAATGCCATGTGCCTGCCACCAGTAGGTGGACAGGGGATGTGGCCCAGCCTGACAGTGGCAGGCACATGGCATTGTGTGGCTCCTGAGGCAACAGCTGCAGGGTGCAGAGCCCAACCCGGAACAGCAGCCCATCTCCACCCTGTGCACAAATCTGGGGGGCATGTGCTCCCTGTACCTCACCCACAGTGCATGCAGCGGCAGGAACGTCCCCCTGCCCACCACCACCACGCCCCTGGACAAACTGCCCGGGCTCCGACCATCCCATGACCCACCTCGGGGTCCTATTCACCCCAGCCCCTGCCTTTATCTCTGCCCCACTCCCTCCCTCACTGTGGGGGCCTCGATCTGAGCCCCACCTCCCCGAACTCCTTTTCTCTCCCCTGCCGCTTTCCTTCCAGAGTCTTACCTGTTGTGTGGTGTGGTATGTGTGTACTCAGCCCCTGCAAATAATATTTTCTCCCTCCACCTATGGTGCCCTCACATTTAAAAAGCACTAATTTGAGGAATTCCTTGAATCCTCTGAAATGTTGCAGAAATATCCTCTCCAAACCAAGACTACTATTGAGCCACTGTCAGGACAGAAATATATTACAAAATCTGGATGGAAAGGAGGACTTACAGATAAAACACAAAGAAAATTCAATGTGCTTTGCTCAGAGGTAGAAGAGCAGGCTCTGAATGTTTCTGTAGTATGTAAGATGTCAGTAAGAGGAGCAGGCATGTGGCTCTGGAGAAAAAAGTCAAAATAATCTTTCCCTGAAACCAGAAGCCAAGGCAGTAAAGTCTACAACTGGAAACAGACAATCTCTTTGGAGTGTGATCATGTCGTGGCACAACTGATTCACTTCACATATGACAGCCCTGGCAATTTCTTAAGACATCTCCCAGGGTCCTTCCTCTGTCCCTCCCAGGGCTTCAGGGGCATGATCCTGAAGGAGAAGGATGCCCTGCCCTGACTATAGACATTTCCCTATGTTTGGGTTCAGGAGATTCCATCAGCATGTGTCTGAAAAGTGCAAAGGAGAGAACTCCCATAGGGATTCCCCCCTCCATGCTTCCAAACTAGGCATGGGGGAATCTCTCTTCAGGGAATTCAAGCTTAGAGAGGGAAACTCCTATGCAGCAACATGGTAGCAGCATGACCCATTCCCCTGGCATGGGTCTGCAAGCACAGAGTGAGGAAATCCCTATTGGGGTTCTCCCTCTATTTGCACATGGCCCTGTGACCCAGGCCACAGCAATGAGAAACGTGCATCACACCCTGGCACACCTATCATGCTGCCAGGTCCTGGGTTGGGGTGCTGTGTACAAGTGGAGAGATGTTTCCTCAGCTGCAGACATACACCCCAAGTCAAAGCAACGCTCCCAGGGCCCTTTTCTCTCAGGATACAGGTCCCTGAGGCTGGGGGAGTTTCTTCCTGGAATGGCTGGAGAATGCAGATGTCAGCGGCAAAAAAGACAGCACAAACTATTACTAGCTTCATCGCCACCACAAAATTTAAGCACTTTTGGTACAGTAAAAGGCTATGGTCTCCATTCACTTGGCTTTTGTGCCGCCATAAACATTTTTATGGTGGCATAAAGTCAATGTCTGTTTGCAGCCTAACTGTACTATGTTAATAGAACGTGTGGAAAGCACACCATTCAGCCCACAAAAGACATTAACTCTCTGAACCCGAATACATCCCAATAGTATTATCAACCCTCACCTACACATGGCAGCTGTAATCCACTAACACTTAATGTAGGTTACTATGGAAGATGAACAAGTGCTGCTTTCTTGTTCTGTCTGCTGAAAATATGGGAGTGGATTTCCTGAATCCAACTAAGTGTGGGGAAGGATAAAGGTGAGTATTCATCTACATTAGAATAACAGCCTGTGCACAGGATGCTGACCTGTTTCTCAGGCAACCTTTCCCTACTCCCTTATTTACTAATACTTTAGTTAATGAATGCCAAATTATAACATGGCATATAATATTTGAAAGCTAACCTTTGAAAGTTAACCTTACAATTTACAGTCAGAAGTTGTGCAATTATTTTTATGTTCACTTAAGATATCTGAGTTTTGATAAATCCTAACTAATTTGTACGCTCTTTGTATAATAAAGCACCTTTTTAAACTCATCTTCTTTCTCGTTATCTTCACTCTCCTCACTAAGAATAGGTAAAGATTCATCAGTTTCTTCTTCCTCTTCATTACCCCCAAACGCCACATGCTTCCTTTCTACTGTAAATAAAAAATAGCAAATATGGAATAATAAATTATTATTTATTATCTGAATATCAACTTTTGCTTTTTTTGTCATGCTTTACCTCCCAATAGAGTCAAAGAACATTTTTCTATTCACTTTAATGGAAGCCGGAAAAGGTATTTAGCTTGTTCTCACATGACTTTCAAAACAAGGCCAAGGAAACCTTAGGTTAACAATATATCATGTATCATTAGTGTGTGTGCATGTGTACATGCACATGCATGCAAACAAACTTCCTAACCCCCACAAGAAAAATGAGGGTTCATGACTTAGCCAGGGGTATATACAGCTACAGCATGCAGCTGAACTGTTCCTTCTTAATCTGGCTACTCACTATGAAATAAGTGGGTTACAAAACACCCGTGTACAAAGAAAACCAAAACTGAATTCTACTGTGTGCGTGTATACGTGTGTGTGCATATATATACAAACACACACATGGTGAACATATACCTGCATGCATATGCGCTCACACACTACACTACACACACACAGTAGGCACATCTACACATGTGCATTTACTGCACAGTAACCAAAATTACTGCGCTGTACAGGAATGTCTACACCACGGCAATGATGTGCCCTAGCCAATATAGCCTTGAGCATGTCCTGCCTACCCACTCCCTATCACATATTCTAAACCCAGAAAGTCTCCAGCATGTTTGACAATAGCTGCTGAGGATGATTGCAGAGCATTTTCAAAGTGTATTTCTGGTGCATTTGGAGCATGTAAGCAGGAGAGGGGGGTAAAATGCACAGTTGAGGTCATTCTGCCCTGCTGTAGATATTAGGGATAAATAAGGATGATATTAGGGAAGAATCTTATTTCATCTTTACATAACCTTAACAGAATTTAAGTAGCCACTTAACTGCACTACTTGATACCTACACATAGTCTGGATTCCACATAGCTATGCTTGCCCTGCATTTTGCCTATGAGCATACTCAGTGAACTACACTCTTGTTGCATAGGTATCCAAGCCTGTTAATAATGCTGGGTAAGTTCTAAAACTTTAGTCACAGAAAAATTGCAATTAATGTTTGACACTGAAGAAGGAAGATAGTCCTAGTACTTTTTAGCCCAATAGTCTAGACACCAGAACACTTACCTAAGGAGCAAGAGACCCCAGTTCTAGGGTCCCATCACCTAGAAGGTATTTGAACTTGTGTCTGGCTTCCTAGAATAGCATTCTAATCACTAGGCTATGGTCTAGATTTTACCAAGCTCACTTACCAACTCTTGAAGCTCCAAGTCTCCCTGTTTCCCCTCCTCTTGGCCCCAGGAAAGCAGCAGTTCAGTGAGATAGATACTACTCTGGAAAGCAGGGAGACTTGAACTGAGGCCCTAACTAGTATCCCCAAAGGGTAAAAAAAAATTTCATTGCCATTTACTCATTGTGTCAAGGTGCAATGAACCAGCTTCAACTCTCATATACTGGACAATGCCTATCCCATGGTCTGATAGAGCACTTTTTTCCCCAGAAACCAGAGATACATATTTAAAGCCCCTCTGGGTGAGGGGAAGCTAAAATCTGAGTCTTCTGTTCCTAGGGCAAGCAACTCAGCTACTAGACTACTGGACTAAAAGGCAGGAGGGTCCTCCTCTTCCTTCATATTCCTTCTATCAAGTACACATGTAGGGCAATCCTATTCCACCACAGATGGAAACAGAATCCAACCTGCATGCAAATGCCAAGAGTTGCTGGTTTACATCTACATACATGCCTCTTAGGCACATAGAGGTGAGGTAGCATTTAGCTTTTATGTTATGTAATGCACAGTCAATCAGATGAAAATATTGACATTCCTTCATTATTAATCAATATTTTGATGGCAATATTTTAAAATGGATATGATGATATGATGTTCTAGCAACTTTTTTCCTTCCACACTCTCTTGAAGTCTGACACTATAAGGAGTCCAAAGAAGAGGGAATGGGGCAGGAAATATAAATGTGTAGAGTCCATCTTCAAGAATTCCAGATATAGTTGAATAACCAGAGCTTTTCTGAGTGGACTCAACACATTGCCACTCTTTTATCATCTGACAAGCAGTACCCTGAAACAAGGGAGAGGAAGCATGGAAACTTAATTAAATAGTAACAAAGTGTTGCCCTACCAAAGATGTATCAGCCCTGCATACTAAATCAAGGGAATAATATCTTAACATTACCTGTAAGGTCTATGTTCCTGGGGAACCCTGGAACAGTACCCAGCCTCTCTGACTCACAAAGGACTCCCTCCCCACAACCTCGTCCTCCCACCTCTGCCTGAACCAGAACTGATAAGAAGAAGGACTTACAAAAGGCAATGAAGATGCAGTGAGAGACGCACCTAAACCCCTCCACATAAGGGTGACAGGACTGAGGCAACTTCTCCAGTCTCATTTGCATCAGAGATCGGAAAGAGAGACACCTCCATTAGCATTCAGAATGGAGAACAGAAATTCCAAGGCACAGACCGCACTGGGTCCAGAGAAGCAGGGGTGCACTGCATAATGGGGGATCCCTGCTCCAAATGCTAATTAACCCACATCTGCACACACCCAACTCAGTATTTATCAGACCAATTCTAGTAATGACTCCTTTACTGGTACCCAAAACACTGAATCCGCCTGTCTGCATTGTGAGTTCCTTCAGAGTAATGCCACCCATAGCCAGGTGTAATCAGTTCCTATTATCCAATACATGAGCCATCATTTACCCATAAACAAACCAAGTGTTTGCCCTTGAGCCATTGTTAGTTCCTTACAAAAAACCCTACCCAAGCTCAAGTTTCTGTTCTGGTGCTTTGATCCAAACACTGCACCAGTTCCACTTCCCTGCCTGGAACACCGACATTAATTGTGCTGAGGGCTCTGCCTGTCTGCAAGCTCCAACAAACACCTGGGAATCTAACCCAGTTCAAGCTTTGCTGAGTGCTGAGATCCCAACTCTCTCTCTCTCTGTTTATGCCCACTTTCTAAACCTCAGACTTGGTTTAATCTCTCTCCTTCTCCAGGTACAGCTTTCTAAACCTGACTTTTGCTGATCAAACTTGAGCTAGACTTCCCCAAATACCCACTTGAAACTGTGTAATATTGTAACTGCTTTGTTTGTCTCTCCTTGTATGGCTAGTAATACTAGTGACATTGTAAGTTTCATATACCTGGCAATAAAATAACTTTAACGTCAAGCTGGTTGCCATACTCTCTCTGAACCTCATTTACTCTTCCTTCTCCTCAACCTCCCTGTTTGGTCTGCAGGAACACTTCTTTTACCTAAGCCAAAGATCCCTGTAAAGTCTAAAAATTCTGTGGGGTTTGCTCATCAAAGGAGTTACTACCAGGAAAATTGGGGCAAGAGATTGGGAACCGCTGAGCCAGGGCATATGAATGCTGATTGACCTGGCCCAGCTCAGACGTACTCTGTTCCTATGCTGAGTTCGGGGCACATGAGGGTGTCAGCCTAGAAATACTGAGTAATTCTGCCTGCTCAGACTTGCTCTGTTAACTTGTGTGTGTCTGACTGCATTTTATTGCTGCCCTGCTGAACTAAGCTCTGTGCTGAGTCTGGGGCATATGAGAAATATAAATGTATGGTTTTTAAAACTAGCTAAAAATAAATGTAACCATCACCTTATTTGACAGCCAGAGGCTGACAGATAGCTTTGAGCAGGGCTTGCCCTGAAACCGCCAGTAATAATACTGGACTCCCTTTGAATTATATAGCTTAAAACCCTTCCCTGAAGAGTAATAAGTGAGTAGAGAAGCTGCTCACAAACAGGTGAGTTAAACAAAGAACTCTGAAACAGTTTTACTAATAAATTTTGCTTTGCCACATAATATTCCAACTCCCTAAAAAAATCTTTTTTCTTAAACACATACAAATAGCTACCTGGCAATGACACTTTTTTTAATGTTCTCTTAGAATTTTTAACTTCATAAATTGTCTCAAATACAGATATCAGTTCCTGGACAGCATCTTCAATATGCATACTTTTGTGGTTCAATATTTCAGCACACTCTCTGGTATAAGTCTGTTGGATAAAAATATCAATAAGTTACATTAACTGTTGATTTCCACTCTGGGGTTAAGTACAGACAGTCAAAAAGCCCGAGGCTGAATCAATTAAATCTTCACAGGTTAATATAAACTGCAAAAATCAAATCAATAAGCAAGTGAATAGACATTCACTTTTGATTCTGGAAATGCAACCACTTGCCTGCAGTGTCCCCAGCCAGAAGCTGGGGGGGCCCTAGAGCACATCTGTCTGCTTGGCTGGAGGAGCCAGCTTGGGCCAAAGCTAGCCTGCCCTCCCTGCAAAAGGGGGTAGGGGAGAATTTTCAGAGGGGGGGCCAAACATCCTGGGATGCTGGGGGACTGTGAGTCAGCTTGAATCTGGAGGTGATCTTGAACAGAAATTTAATAAACCGATTTAACCTAAATTAATTCTGATACTATATTTATCCACATTTATCTTAAACCAGTTTTGGCCATTTTAAAGATACTTTATATGCACTGAACTTCCGATGTGTTACAGATTTAAACCAGTTTCCAGTCACTTATACCAGTTTGTGTGTAATTTCTGTCCTTAACCCCAGAGTTTACTAAAAACTCAAGGTACACATCCAAAATTAAACAGCTGACTATGATTATTATGATCTAGTACAACTTTTGATTGTAAATACAAATCAACTTGCTGCAATGAGAAAGTTACAACTTCTCTTTGTTTCTTTCTGAAAGGTCATAACATCTCCTTAACAATGCAATCCATAAAGGAGATCTATGATACCTCCAAACATTTCCAAAAGTGACATGGTATAAGGAATAAGTTGAGCATCTAAAGTTGACTCTTAAATTCATACAATCCTGTAGCTGAATTACTGTCTAAATGACAGGCTTGTGCAACAAAAAAATTGTTGGTGAATTTTGTCAGAAACTGTTTGTGGAAATGAAAGTTTTTAAGGGACAAGGCAGGGCCCATTTCAGTGAATTTCACATTAAAAAACAAAACAAAACCTTAAACCCAGTTTCAAAATTACCAATGCTGGAAGTCTTATTTTCTAAATGAAAAACATCTAATTTTAGTCATAAATGATTTTGTGTTTTCAAAATTCAAAGTAGTTTGTTGTAAAGAAAATATTTAAACAGAAAAAACTGAAAAGAAACATTTAATTTACCAAAATAAAATATTTTAACTGACCTGATCAATTTTATTTGCACTTTGCAATTTTTTTTCAAGATTCTGACATTATGTTCTATGAGCTTGAAAAAATGCATTTATGCATGTATTTCCTGCCCAGTTCAAAGCAGTAAGTGTCCAGAAAAAACCTTGCACCCTTCTCAGTAGCTTTATTTGACTGTTACATTATACTAGGGTGTCAACGATACAGCCAACAGAGCTGTATCACCCAGTCCAGGTGCTCCTGTAAGGGTTGCAGCAAGTTGTGGGGGAGGGTCCTGCTGTTGAAGTTTGGTATATGGAGCCCCACCAGGGATGTCCAATGGTGGCAGAGGGTTAAGTAATAGGCACATTAATCCTTGTGGGTCAGGAACCCATGGCAAGCAATGCTAGCACAGCTTGTCTCACTGCCAAAGGTGGGTCTGGAACAGGCCCATGCAAGCCTTGCAGTCTGGATCTGGCCCAGCAGGCTAAGGGAGTTTGATATTCCTGCTCTATACTGTACTCCTCAGTGAAAGAAAAGGTAGAGCTATCTAGCAGTAAGAGTTATTTTTTTTAAAATAAAGTAACTGAAATTATGTAAGGATAAATAGGTTATTTGAAAATTATGGTCCTTGATTTATACCTGTAAACTGCTGAAGTTGAAGTTTTGCAGGAAATTTTATTTGGAAAGAAAATACATCTATAGTTAACAATTTTTAACTTGGCATGTTGCTTTTATATTGCATTATAGTGTATTTTTTCCACATTAAAAAAACCCAAGAAAGTATTTTGAAAACCTTTTTGAAGGTACACAAGGGAAAGAAATTAAAATTCTACGATACAAAATATGTACCTCATTGCGTGTCAACATATCCTCCACTTTAACAGGACGATCCTCTGGCAGCACAATTAAAAGAGTATTTGATACTTCTTTCAATATTAAGTCAATCTGTACTTCACATAAGTCATTAACCTAAAAAAGAGTAGATCTAAATTAACAGCACACCTATACTTCTAAAGTTTTGTGTACTATTATTATTTATACAATGCCACAGATATATACTGGACCCATCGATAAGTGCAGTTAATGGTATTTGGCTTCACTGTCCAGTAAATTTACTACTTGCATATGGTCATAGAATATAATGGCAGAATCTTGAAAAATTTGCAAAGTGCAAATAAAATTGATCAAGTCAGTTGAAATATTTCATTTTGATAAATTAAAAACATTTCACTCTGATGATTTTCATATGCAGGGAGTAAATTTACTGCAGGTGTACCTTGAGTTTTTAGTACTCTGGGGTTAAGGACAGAAATTACACCATCTTCAGGGGCAGGCAATTATTTCAGGTGGAGGGCCGCTTACTGAGTTTTGGCAAGCCTTTGAGGGCTGCATGACAGGCAGCCAGGGGCAGATAAATATTAATTTTCTAAATGTTTTAGGGGTCCCGCAGGCCAGATGGAATGGCCTGGCAGGCCACATCTGGCCCGCGGGCTGCACTTTGCCCACTCCTGATCTAACTGATGTAAGAAAGACACATGAGGAATAAGAAAGAAAAATAAGAAGTACCGCTACAAACATGGAATTAGGATGTAATTGGGATAACAAAGACTTGATGGGATAGTTCACACAACTGGCGGACTTTCATGGATGGGTGCAACTTGTTTAGGAAGCACAGGCCAAGGAAAAAAAAGAGGTTGTGTATGCTTCTTCTGATGTGCACCATAAAGCAGGAGATGGGCCTGCTGTAATGTCTCTGGGTCAATGTTAGAGGGGAGAATAACACGAACATAGTCATGGTGCGTATCTGCTATAGACCACCATACCAAGAACCAGAGCTTGACAAGGCCATTTTTAAAAAACTAATCAAAGCTTACAAATTGCAGGGCCTGGTTCTCATTTGGGACTTCAGTTACCATGGCATCTGCTGGGAGGGCAACATAGCAGAGTGTCGTGGGACACTCCCACGCCCCACTCCTAAGGAGGCTCAACCCCGGGAAGGGGAGAGGTGTAGCAGGGCACCAGGGTGCCTGCTACTGGCGGTGGTAAATGGGCCGAGCTGCCAATCACCAGGGCAGCTCAGGTGCGGGTTGCTGGAGCAACCAGGTTGGTCACGTGACCAGAAGGGGGCAGGGCCGGGCCCTTATAAACAGCCAGGCCGGAGCCTGGCTGGCAGTTCCCTTCTGGCAACCTGAGGGGTAAGAGCTCTGCGGGAGAGCTAAGCTAAGCAGTGCAGCCTGAGCACCCAGAGGGCTGCATGATGGTCAGGGTGAGGAGAAGCCTGACCAGGAGGCTGTGGGCCAGAGAGCCAGGTGGGCCTGGACTTTATGTTGTGGCCGGTAGGCTTACTGTTTTGTTATAGCCGGTAGGCTTCTTGTTTCATTATTGCCAGTAGGCCTATCGTTTTGTTACAGCCAGGTGGGCTTATGGTTCTGTTGTGTATATTGTCTGGAGGACCGGGTGAGGCTGTAGGGGTTTGAGGAGGCCTCACAGGAGATCCCCAGCAGTCCAGGGGTTTCCTGGGTGCCCCATTTGGGCACCGAGCAGCGCCGGGAAGGTGTGGCAGCTGGGCACCAGTGTGGTGCGGGATGTGGGGTTGAGACCCCAGCCTAAGAGGGCTGTACTCGGCCCAGTGAAGGCGTAAGACCCTGAGAAGGGTCAGGGGGCCAGGCACGGCTGCGTGCCACCTGAGCCCCGGCGCCGGTGAAAGCCCGAGACAGGGCTGGC